TAAAAGCTCAGAATTACCATGACATTATACCCATGATGAGTATATATAAACCTTTGAAAATCTGTCAATTTAAGACTTTATTTAAGAACATACAAAACACATTCTAAATTCTAACTAACTCGACAGCAAAGATTTGGATGAACCAGGATATTTTAAAGCATTTAAAAATATAAGGCCCCTTCAGTGTCATCAGTTTCACTGAGGGTTTAGCAGAAATAAAAGGAGAGCACAGCATTAGCCTTCCCATCGTGGCAGAAGCAGGTGGATGGAAACTTTATTAAACTGGTGATGACTTAAGAGGATCAGCCAGCACAAAGTCTTTTGGTAGCTTGTAATTTTGAATTTCATAAGATTTTGATCCAGTATTTCTAAACTATGAGGATGTAACGTATTGGATGGATTCTTTTGAACTATTTTGGTTTGGCAGCTATTCATTGTATGCACTAGTCGTTTTTCCCACCACCTCTCGCATGGTTTGAATGAAATCAGCTCTGAATTCCTGTGCGTAGGCTCTTGGAAAAATACCTTGGCTGTCTGCCTGACTTAGAGTATAGGTGGTTATCTGACTCTCTGTGTATTCACAGCCACTGCTCTCGCCTTATCAGCAGTCTGAAGCTTGCATGCTCAATTGCCTGATTTGTCAAGAGTGACTCCAAAAGATTCTGATAGGCACTCCACAAATCACCCAGTTGATCTAAAATATCGACCAGCCACAAAAAGTCATTACACACAATAATGGCGGGCAGGACCTTGAAGATGTGACTTAATTACTTTTCAAATGGCTTCAAAAATGGCTTCAAATCTGCCTCCCCAGGCAGTAATGTGGTCTTGGACTTTTCATGGTGATTACAGGTGCACTAAGTTGGGCACTGTGCTCTGCTACTGAGAGTAGCCTGCTGCTGCTGATGCCTGTAAGTGTTATCAGCTTTATGGGCATCAAAGAAGAACATTATGGTCATACAAATTCAGACTGTTCACACTGCTGTTTAGCATGCTTGTCTGCTTCAACTTATATTCCACTCGTAAGCGATATTGACGGAGGCAGGCAGAAAGCATGACGTACTGCTATAGCTCCAAAAAAATTCTACTAAATCTAATGAAATTTGGAAAGTAGATGATTGCATGCATTGGCAGTATTTGAAAGTGTGATTGTATGAATGTCACTCACACACACACATTGACTCTTAATGAATTTAAATTTAACGTTACAACTTTAGGATGATCAAAACATACAGTACATGGCTTTTACAATGAATACATTTAGCTAAATTATAAATTGCTTTGTGTTTAAGTAGTTAAATATTCTTTTCTCACATTACACTTCTATGTCTCCTCAGAAAACCAAGATCTCAACATATGACAAAATGTGGGAGTTCATGAGCAGTCGGCGGCACTCTGTGATGGTGAAGAACGTCGAGGAAGGCATTCACCGAGTGCTCACCTCGGACTACGCGTTCCTCATGGAGTCCACCACCATCGAATTTGTCACGCAGCGCAACTGCAACCTCACACAGATTGGAGGCCTCATTGACTCAAAAGCCTATGGGGTCGGGACCCCGATGGGTATGTGACACATGTTATAATGATGTGTTTTGCTCTTAAGGTTGTAGCATATACAGTATTTTAGAGCGATCTATTTTGCAATGCATTAGGAAATCTGAAATCAAGTTTTAGTTGCCTTTTGAGTTCCTGTTTCTTTGAAAGGTGCTTCCTTTCTGCTCTTCATTGGCAACGTCAGAACTTTGAGCCAGCATGAAATGTAAGACTAACATAGCCACTATGATGTCTCCAATTAGTTCTGAAGGCTTTACTGTAGGGTTTTGAATATCACCATTTTGTTTTTTTATAAACTTGGCCTGAGCATGTTTGAAAGAGAGAGTAAACTTGGGGAAATATCTGCAGATGCAGTTACTAGCTAGCAAATTAATATTGTTTTTTTTGTTCTTTTTCTTATTTAACAGCAGCTAACACACCGAAAAAAACCCATCAAGATATGCTTAAAGCTCACCTCGGTATCACTGTCAACGGATAGAAGTGACCTTTGATAATATACTATTTTCAAAGCCTCCTTGAGAGTAAATAAACATGAACACATTGATAGCTGAGGTAAACAGCAGACTGACAGCAGCCAGAGTTGTTTGTCCTACAGCGCCCCCCATAGGAAACAGAATTCAGTTGACTCCAGTCTGCAATCTACTGACCTCTAGTGGTGAGATTTTACACACTCTCTTTAAAAATATCATTAAGGTCAGACAAAGAAACATTGATTTCAGTCCAGAAATTTCCTTCATTATGTCACATTTTAGGCCTTAAGTGGGTTATTAACATAAAAGGTCAGGTCCTTTAACATAGGTATCTCTTTTGGAGCTTGACTCAAGTGTAATTGCAAAGAACATGTTTTTGTTGCAGAACCTCAGTATATTAAATGGCTGTACACTATGGAGGTTAAAAAAGCAGTTATTGTGAAAGCTTTATTGATGGCTCTGTAATGGAAGCAAATACAGATTTTCCACTTTCACACTGCACTTGAAGGATAGAGGTCAGAGCCTAATTATTGTAAGCCCTTTAATTAGATGGATTTGATGTTTACGTCATAATAGGTGTCATCGTTTGATGTTGAACAGAATCCTGATTATTGTTTTTTTGTTATTTTGTTGACTTCACGGTGGCTTTTAAACATATTTTATGTCATTCCTTTACCACATAATTAGTGATTTACTGGTAATATAGCCTACTTCTACTGGTAATGTAGTAGTAGGAAGGATCAAAGAGATGATTCTGCTTTGATGTTTCATAAATCAAGATCATGAATATATCGAGGTGTGGTATACTTTGCTTTGTTGTTGCAC